CTGCCCCCTTCTATCCCCACCCTCCAACACACCCAGACACACACATAGACACACATACACACATAAACACACACACACACACAAAGAAAAGGGTATAAAAGAATTGGTTGTTCAAGGAAGTTTAGCTTTTTCCTATACTTGTTTCACTTTCTTCAGGATGCTACAAAAGAAATGAGTACAAATTGCATTCTCCAGTGATACATCTGAAAATAACTAGAGGCAATCTTTTGGGCAATGAGTTACCCAAACCAGAACATTTTAAGAGAGCATCTTTCACAACTTGTCCTCCTAGTAATATTAATTACATCTCCTTGTTTCTTATTGTGGCACTGATGGTGCTTAAAAGATCAAACCCTGAACCTCACACATACAGGGCAAGGCATATACTGTACCACTTGAGCCACACCCCCAGTTTATAACATCCACTTACTGAATGCCTGTAAGCCAGCTGCTTCTTTGCATGCTCTCAACTGCAGGTCAGAAGTGAAGTCTAGGAGGGTTGCATTTTCCTTACTGTTAAGGGACCTGAGAACTTTCAGGAGATCCACATTAGTTGGTGGAGCCAGGTCCACAGACTTAACCACTGTTCTCAATTGCTACCTCTATATCATCTCCTGGGCTGGAGCGATATCACAGCTGGTAGGGCGTTCGCCTTGCATGCAGCCAACATGGCTGGCCCGAGTTGGATTCCTCCGCCCTTCTCGGAGAGCCTGGCAAGCTACTGAGCTACCCGTGACGTATTCAGTATGCCAAACACAGTAACAAGTCTCACAATGTTACTGGGCCCACTTGAGCAAATTGATGAACAACGGGAGGACAGTGACAGTGATATCATCTCTTTTAGTAACCATCTCTCCCAGTTTATGTGATTCTGGAAATGGAGGAAAAACTGGTGACTTTGAGTTATCTTCAATTTTTGTTCCCTCTTCTCCTAATGGCTCATATTTACAATCTGACTGAGGGATGTTTCCTACAGACTGTTTGTGATCCTGGTTTGTGTGTGTTCATTTCCTCCTACCCGATATTTTTATTTCTCTCCAATGGCAGAAGGACTACTGGGAATAATCGGATGCACATGAAGAGGAAACAAATAAGATTAAGTTTAACCTAAGTACATTTTTTGAACAGTGCATAAAGCACATTGTGAAGCACTGTTTAAGATGAGTAGACACAAGTCAGGGCCTCATGGAATTTACAGTCTGGGGCTTGAGAGTTTAAGGAAGAAGACTACAGACAAAGATAGATGATTTCAAGCCAAATATGGTAGATTCCTTCAGAAAGAAATAAATGAAGTGATAAAGGGGTGGGAAGCTGGAGGCCTTGCATTTCCCTGGGAAATCACAAATAAGAACATGTGATGAGAGAGGATTCTGGGCTGGAAAGCACAAGGCTCAAGCTTTACTCCAGGTCTGACACTGGACTCTGAGTGAGGCTTTTCTCTTTCTCCTCTCCCCAACAGGACACATAGTCTACAGGCTCGGATCCAAATGAGAATGTGGGGGCCCCTTGTTTCAAAGTGAAGAACTTCTGGATAACAAGAACAGAGCAATAAAACAAGCCTGAAATCCTTCCTCCAATGGTGGTATCTCCATGGAGCAAGTGTTTTGGGTCTTTTCCGCTCTGGTAGGTGGGGAGCCAGGCTGCATCAGTGTTCAATTCAGAGTCTGCTGCTCAGATGAATCAGTGAATGAGTTAAAACCAAAAGGGAAACGACACTATTATGTCTGGTAATTTTGTGGCTTGCTTTCATCTTAAAATGTCATTAGACTATGGCTCTGAACACCCATTGGATGAGACCTTGAGATGAATCTTGAAAGAGAACAGGATTTTTCCTTCCTGTGTTTTCTTTTCCCATTGTTATTTTAGGAGTTTTGCATTTCTCTCAAAAACTCTACTGATAATGTCAGTCTTTACAGTGAGAAATTCATGAGTTATACATTTTGGAGCAGAGAAGTTCAATACTGAAGTTTAACTCAAAAGACCTAGGCCTTAATTTGATTCCTCATGGAAATTTTTCTTACAAAGATGCCTATAAATTATATATCCATGTGGAGAGCCCATTTTTCATTTAAAAATCATTTTATTCATTTTTCATCAAATATTTTGATAGTGCTGAAGGACAAAAATCAGAAAAATATAGCAGCAGCACTGTCCTCCCATTGTTCATCGATTTGCTATAGATGAGCCAAAAAAAAAAACTACTCACTATTCCATAAGTAATAATGGACCTGCAGTATAAAACTAGTTTTCAACCTACTTTTTCATTTAATAATATATGAGTAACTTTGAGTGTTAAATATCACTGTATCTTTTTATTTTTCATGGCAGTATAGATATATTCTGTTATATAGTTTTACTATTCTCTTCTGGGGGCTGGAGCGATAGCACAGCGGGTAGGGTGTTTGCCTTGCACATGGCCGACCCCAGTTTGATTCTTCCACCCCTCTTGGAGAGCCCGGCAAGCTACCAAGAGCATCCCACCTGCAAGGCAGAGAGTGGCAAGCTCTCAGTGGTGTATTTGATACGCCAAAAACAGTAACAACAAGTCTCACAATGGAGACGTTACTGGTGCCCGCTCGAGCAAATCGATAAACAACGGGAGGACAGTGCTACAGTGCTACTATTCTTTTCTTGATATTTTCTTTTCTTGAGATTTGCTGAGTGTAGGCAACCTACTTAGTTTCTCTGCTTCTGACTTTCTTCCATAAATAACTTTTAAGATATTACAATGGCTATCTCCTGAAGTTGTATGGCATCAGTTAGTTAGTAGATGTACAACTCCCAGCACAAACACAGTATAAAGCAGAACAGACTAGGTTTTTCAATAAATATTAGTCATTTAATGCTCTATAGGCTCAGAAGGAACTATCTGGCACAGACTGTGGAGAGCAGTGGGTGAAGCCTGAAGTCCCTTTTGGTATTCTTTGCGAAGCAGCAGAATGAGGTGCAATAGGGGAAGATCCATATAGGAAAGCGGATTTTTCAAGAGAGAGTAGTTTTTGAGTGTTCCCCACCCCCCTTTCTTAGTTATAATGGAAGCTCCCAGGGAGCTAGGAGTCTGCTAATTGTTCTTTCTCTTTTTACCCTTATACAGCAGAAGAGAGCAGGTGTTTTGGAGCAAAGATATGTCACTGTTCCCTGACATCTAAGAACCTTAGCAGATGTACAGCTCATCAGTTTGTGCAGTCATCAAGGCTTGCCTTTACCTCGACACACATTGTTGACAGGGTGTGCTGCTGAGGCTGTGCTAGTCTTGCTAAGGGCAGCTGACAAGATCAGTTGTGTTTCATGCAGGGGAGGAATGCTGTCCCTTCAGGGATGTCCTAGAGGTATGTATGGAGATCTAGGACTGGAGGCAGCAAGTTTCAGGCCAGCTACTTGCTTGCTGTCCACCGCCCCCCCCACCCACACACTTGGTCCAAGTAATTGCTCCCCCTTCATCCTATAATGCTGACAGCATCCTAGGAGGCCAGGGTAGTTGTTCAGTGATTAGCACTGAACCCAATTATCTGCCCTGAGTCTCTCTCTAATATGGAAAAATTATGAGGGGAGAGCCATGCTTACAACCTTTGGTAAACCAGTTAGACCACAGCTCAATTTCCCCACTTGCAAAATTGGGAATGGTAACTATGTCTCTGTTACTGGGCTGTGAGGATCAAATGAGAAAACATTTAAGGAAGTATTAAACACATAGGCTGAAATAGAATATAAGGACTCCAATCAACCTTTCTGTAGTGGATGACCCTGCACTGATCTAAAGAATTTAGATTGTTACTAGAATCTTGGTATATGCGAACAATATATAGAGGCTGTAAGTAAGAAAGGCATGAGTTCCAGTAGAAATCGGACATCAATGTCACACATAGTTTACTAAATCTTATTTTAGTAATCTTTGTAAGATCTCGGTTTTAAGGCTTAGATGAACACATTGGTCCTACTTTAATCTATTAATAAAAGAAGTAAGTGAACTAGACACATTTCCAAATAACATTATCAAAGCATCTCTTTTTCCAGTCAAGGATTAAAAATATATATGTATTTGTGTAATCACTTCATATTATAGGTAAAGGTAAAGGCCCTCCCGTTGATGGTCGATTTGCTCGAGCGGGCCCAGTAACGTCTCCATTGGAGACTTTGTTGTTACTGTGTCTGGCATATCCAATACTCTCAGTAGCTTGCCAGGCTCTCCGAGAGGGGCGGAGGAATCGAACTCGGGTCGGCCATGTTGGCCACATGTAAGGCGAACGCCCTACCTGCTGTGCTATCGCTCCAGCCATTATGTCCAGAATAATTTTATAATTTTTATTTATTTTAGTAAATAAATAAACTGGTATCTGTGTGTAAAAAAAGAATTTAGATTGATTAACTGTTATCATCACACAAGCTTACAAAATAGGTAGTATTAATATGCCATTTCACAGGTGAACAAATTGGGGTACAGCGGTTCAGTAATATATATGCTCTCAAGATAGCTTGATTGTAAAATTTTATTCCCAAGGTTTTTGTTTGTTTGTTTTGGTCACACCTGGTAGTGCTCAGGGGTATCTCTTGGTTTCGCATGCAGAAATTACTCCCGGCGGTGCGCGGGGAACCGTATGGAATGCCGGGGATTGAACCCCGGTCGGCCGCGTGCAAGGCAAACGCCCTCCCCGCTCTGCGATCACTCCGGCCCATACTCCCTGGGTTCTCGCACAGCTCCTCCGGGTCGATCTCTCGTGGCCAGCCGATCCTCCGGGCTCCAGGACAGAAAGGGTTACGGGACCGCGCGCGCGCATTCTCAGCGGGGATATGCGCGGGCCCGCGCTCCCCGGCTCACAATGACGCGGGGCGGGGCGGCGGACGCTCTCCACGCCTCTCATTGGCGCAGACGCCCCTTCCTGTCACCGCCGAGGCCCCGACCCCGCCCCCCGGGTCCCGCCCGCCGACCGGGCGCCGCCGGAGTGGGCGGTCCCAGCCGCATGCTAATGAGGGGGCGGTCACTGCAGCCCATTGGCCGGCGGCGAAGTGTCGGTGAAGTCAGCAGCGAGTCCCAGAAAAACAGAGCGGGGCCAACTGCAGCGTGTAGTGCGAGTGGGGCCGGACGCGCGCAGCCCGCCCGCCGCCCGCCCGGCGACCCGCAAGGTAAGCCCGCGCCCGCCGCTCGCCCGCCCGCCGCCGCGGCCCCGGGGGGCGTGCGCCGACCCGGCCCCCGCGGGCGCCGTCTTTGTTCGGCGCTCGGAGGAGGCGCGTTTAAAGGGCCAGCTGTTGGGAAGGACTTGTGTGTATGTGTGTGTGTGTGTGGGTGGGTGGGACCCCCGGACCCCCGCCCTCTGAGCATCTCCCGGAGTAGTCAGGGAGGAAATCGTTTCCCCCTCCTCCATCCCCTTCCATCAAAGCATCCTTTCTTGTCTGCTTGGTGGATCCCCGAATCTTGCAAGGAAAGTTGCCCAGGGTGCGGGGATTCTGGAGCATTTGTGTGTGTATGTGAGTGTGACGGGTGGTGGTGGTGGGGTCCGGGTGGGGGCTCCGTGCGATCATGGCCTCTGCCGGGGAAAGAACGTCAGCCTGCTCCAGGCTGGTGCAGGAGACAGCCTCGCCGGGGCGGTGGGTTTTCGCCGTAAAGTGAAACTACCGAGGAGGGGCTCCTCTGCAGCAGCCGGAGGAAGGAGGAGGGCGCCCGTGGCAGGATGCAGGCGTCTCAGGTGTACGCGCCCATCAGCATCCCACCCCTGGAGGAGCGGGCGGCCGGAGGGGCTGGAAGGTCGACCGGTCTGGCCTAAGGACCCGCCTCCAAACAGGGGGTCCGTCTGTGTCCCCGCCGACCCCGGGAACCTCGGGTCTGCCCATTCGCCCATGCGCCTTCTTCATCCCCGGAGCGACCGGCAAGCATCTTGCTAGGCAGTCAGTCACCTATGAACTGAGAGCAACTCCTCTCTCGCAATTCCCAGGCCCCTAGCTGGCAGCTTGACGGCGTCGCTTGGCGTCCCTTCCTTGGGAAGCAGCAGCGCCATTCAAGAGAGGGATAGAGGCAATTCTGTGCCTTTCATGGTGGAGGGGGGTGGGCGATGTGCAGTGCATCCCCGGTGCATCTGCTGTTATGCGATGGCTTTGAAATTCATCGGTGCATTCTTCAGGAAGACAGAATTTATTAGTCTATTGCATTGCTACATAAAAGGAGAAAGGATTACGCTGAGCCCGGCTCTTTTTTTAATTTTTTTTTTTTTTTATATCCAGATCCTGGGTTTTCCCCCAGCATATTCTGGCTGGGCTTTTGGATATTTATTTTAAACTGAGCGCTGGGGTGACCCTCTTGTCACAGGGTTGACCTGATAACGTGGCCCCAACTGATTTCACCATCAATAGGAGGGACATTCATTTAGAGACATCATGGAACCTGTTTGGCACGCCAGGCCTCTGACACCGCCCCTCCCCCACAGAGCGTCCTTTCCTCTCCTAAGTGAAGGCCAAGCCAGGCCAGGAGGGCCTGTATCCAGACCTCCCCTCCCCCCACCCCCCAGCCCCCACCCAGTGTTCCGTGTTTGAGCACACTGTTTAAATTCACCGTTGTGTTTGCTTTGGCTTGGAAAGGTGCTTTAGTGGCGACTGAAGAAAAGGGGTGAATTAAAAGTGAGGTGGACAGCAGGTGGGGACAGCAGCTACAATGACAGAAATACATGCTGGGGCCTTCTGACCAGCTTCCCCTATATAGGTGCAGAGAGTGGGGGTGGGAGGGTGTGCTGAAGGGAGGGTGGGGTGGTGAGGAGGACTCTGCCACCAATGCCCTGCCCCACCCTCTTGGTACTGTTTTATATAGAGCCTTGCCAGCCAAGCCGGGGCATCTCAGGCTCATGGACCAGGGAGAGGACTGGTCTCTGGGCATTTTTGCCCTGGACATTGTTTAGAATGGATGGAAAAGGGTTAATTTTTCAGGGGCTGCTGAGAGTATATTTTGTAGCTGGGGGCCTGGCCTGAACTAGCTGTGGTGACATCTTCACAAGGAGTTAGTATGTGACACGCAGTGCTTTCTGTAGGCAGAAGAGATGACAGTACATTGTCATCTTCTCCGGCACCCATTTATTCTTGGCCCTTCCCCCCTCCTTCATTCTAGTTGGAGAGATGGGGTGAACTTTTCAGAATGGATCAGGGGTCTTGAGGGGTGAGATAGGAGTCATGGGGAAGGACCAGAAAGTGCTTCTCATTGGTCCAACAAAGAACTGTTCAATTATTTCCACTTCAAAATAGAGTTCAATACAGATAGTAGAGACTGGTATTTTCTTTGCAGGGAATGAATGAATGGGCAGGGTTCTAGCGGGGAGAGAAGCCTTTATGCATTAGTAGCCAGCTGACCATCCAAACTTAGCTCTGGAAGCTGCCCTGGACATGCTAGACTTGCTGTAATGAGCGCTCGCTGCTGATTTTGGGTTTCATCTGTGACACATGCAATGGAATGGTTTTCATAAAAAAACAAACTTTAATGGGGAAGGGCTTTCTGGGCCTGAGAAAAGCTTTGATCTTGGGGCAAGTGGTCTCTGCCTCCTCTCTGGATTGGTCTCCTTGTTGGTAAATGGCAGGGACTGGGAGCAGACCTCTTTCTGAGTTCCTGAGAGCATTGCTGTTTGTAGGGTCACAAGTACAGTTTGTGATGGTGTTCTTTGATTCTCGTTCATTTTTTAAGGTGATGGCATGCTTACAGTATTGGTCAATGGCATGAAAAAAACTTTTCAGGACTCCAGCCGCTGCTGAATTCAGATTCACCTTTCCCCTGCTGACTGAAATTCATGAGTTTTTTTTTTGTTTTTGCTTTTTGGGTCATACCTGGCGGTGCTCATGGGACTATATGGGATGCCAAGGATCGAACTCATATCAGCCCCATTCAAGGCAAATGCCCTACCCGCTGTACTATCACTCCAGCCCCTCATGAGATTTTATTGTCTGCAAAGGATGGAGAGTCGCCCAGAGTGAGGCATGGAGCATCAGGAATGGGTGCTTGGCGGGAGAGATGAAGACAAGGGTTGGTTTCTAGGATTTATTTTCTCTTTTTAAGTGTGTGTAGCTCACTGCTTTTATTTATGGTTATGCAGGTGGAGGTTTGAGTTCTGGAGTTGGAAGCAACCTCAGTGATTGCCAGATTCAACCTCCTTCACTGAGGAATTTGAGTGGTTGGAGGTTTGGCAGTTTGTCCAAGGTCACATAGTCACACAGCTAGCAATGCAGAGCTGGGGCAGAAATCCAGGTGGACAGATTCTGCCTCCTATGTTCTGGACCCATCTCTTAAGCCCCCTCTTCCTCAGAGAGAAATGATTCCAAGAAGGGGCGAGGAAAAGAAAGGAGGAATAGTGGTTGAAAGAAGGGAGAGGTAGGACCAAGTAGCAAGCTCGGGATAGACAGGTCAGAAGGGGACAGGAAATACTTATGGTGGGCTTGGTGGGGGGAGGGCTGGGGTTGAGGGGAAGCTCCAGCAGCTGGGAAGTAAGTAAGCAGCAACTTGGTTTACACAAGGTTGGGGATTATGGTGGGGGCTTAGTGGACCAAGAGTCTAGGCCGGATGGGGACTCTCTTGGACTCTCCTTGGAATTTCCCTCCTTATTCCGCTGTCAGTTTCAGTGTGGACTGGAGGCTGTTGGGTTGCATAGCCATTGGGCATGCAGCTCTTCATCCTGTGACCCTCTGTCAGGTCAGGTGTGGCCAGGGTGCTGCTGGAGAATGCTGAGGTGGGATCCAGTGCTATTTTTTTTTCTTTTTGGGTCATACCTAGTGATGCACAGGGCTTACTCCTGGCTCTGCACTCAGGAATTACTTCTAGCGGTGCTCAGGGGACCATATGGGATGCTCGGAATCGAATCTGGGTTGGCCGTGTGCAAGGCAAACGTCCTACCTGCTGTGCTATCACTCCAGCCCCCAGTGCTACTTTTTTTAAAAACACAAAACTAAAAAAAAAAAAAAAAAACAAAAAACACACACAAAAAACCCTTTTCTTGTTTTTTTTTTTAACTCAAGCAGTTTTTTTTCCTTTAACTTTCATGGGTGCATTGTCCATGTTGAGCTCATGTTGCTGGTCCTCCCCTTTCAGAGGGGACACTTGGAGATGACTGATTTACTGACTCCACCTCACTGGAGGCTAACTGCTGGCCTCTGACCTGAGCTAAGCCTCAGACCCTTTCAATGAGCAATTAAAGAGCTGTGAACTGTGGTTAACCAGATCAGTAACCATTCAAAGGCAAGGTAAAAGGTGATAATGCCTTGAAATCTATAGCCCAAGCCAACAAGCCTTCATGTATTGTGTGTTGCTTACTTTAACTCTTCAGGCTCATGGAGTATCTCTGTGGATTTATTCTTCCTGCTTTGTGTGACTGACTCAGCATGTGTGTCTATTGCTGTGTCTTGGTGTTCTCCCATCCTACTTTCCCCACACCTCTCTCTACCATTTCCTCCCTTCCTTTCCACAACTTCTACTCGCCTCATGCTGTATGTTTCTTCTAGCCCATCTCCCCTATCTTTTTTTTTTTACCACCAATTGTGTAGCTTTGTTGTACATTTTAATATTGTTTCTGAGTGAGTCATTAAAATTTCATCCTCTCTATTCTTAATCTGAAGTCAGTTGAGTTCACTGTTTCTGAATGTATTTGTGTTTTACACACAAACCCGACCCAACCCTATTAAATTGTTTTTCACTTTGATGTGGCCTTTCACTGAGGTTACCCGCCTCCTACCCCCACTTCTCTTCTGTGGTCAGTTACGACTATAGAAACAAACCAAAAATCCCCAACTCGCTATCATGTGTTTGTTAGTGTTTTTATAACAACAATGACAACAACAATAACAGAAAACCATAATAAACCAGCTATAGCAATAGAAAAAATTTCCACGCTTATATTATGGCCACAAGGGACACTTTCACCCTAGAGAGTCGCCCTATTTCTTGATTTCCTTCCACTGAAAGAGTGTTTGCAATGCTTTCTGTAACTGAAGACTGTAACTTTAAGGGGTCGAGGTGCTGATGGCAAAACTGGAGTCCTTGTTGGTGATTCTGGTAATACTTAGAGTGGGTGAGGTAGGCAGGCTTATGGCCAAGAGAGTACATCTTGGAAGAATTCAGTGTGTTGGTTTTTTCTTTTTTCCCTGGGCTGAGCCGACCCAGTGAC